TTTTTTTTTCTAAAATAGTTTTAAGATTTTATTTAAAAAAATATTTATTCCATTTAAACTTTACAAGTATTTTTATTTACTTTTCTTTATTAAATTTTCCTTTATTTACTAGTTTTTATTAAAAATTAAATGAAAAAAGTAAACAATAGTTATTAAAAATTAAAGTCAATTAAGAAAAATCTTTTTATTTCTAAAACAAAATACAAAAATTAAAAAATTTAGATAATTAAAATAGATAAAAATTATTTAATATCCCAAAAACGATATGAAATAAAACAAGTATACTTTTCCTTTTAAAACAGTAATGTATAAAAATTTAAATAAATTGAAACTAACAAAAGAAAAAAAATTTAATCAAAAAAGAAAACAATAGTTATTGAAAATTAAATTAAAGAAAATTTTTTTATTTCTAAAACAAAATATAAAAATTAAAAAATTTATATAATTAAAAGAGATAAAAATTATAATCAAGATCCGAAAAACGAAATGAAATAAACCAAATATATTTTTCTTTTTAAAACGATAATGTATAAAAATTAAAATAAATTGGGACTAACAAACCAAATTAAATTGAAATAAATAAAATAAAAAACTTTTTAATATACCACGCTTTTATAAATGGACTAAAAGTTAGAAAAATATATATCTCAGTCCCATAGAATTTGTTTTAATAACTTTTGATTTTGAAATTTTAGCAAAAGTCATTATAAACAATTTATGAGATTGAAAACGAAAAACGTGGAGCGCAGGCGTTAAGTTAAGTAGTCATAATCATACCTTTACACTTTTGTGCTAGAATATCAAAAGCCCTTCGAGCTATCCTGGCATCTGTCTTTCATATAATTACATTAAACGAGCAATTCTTGTATATATATACAAGATGTTTTGAACCACTTTTGGACTGGAAATTGAGAAATGTATTTTACTTTCCATTTGTGTTTCGAAAACGAATGGTTCAGAATCTTCCAGGTTGAGATCGCTGAAATTGTCAGCAACAAGGTTAATATCTAAAATGGTTAATTGCTTTCATTGCAAAAGGGGCGTTTGGTGGCAAATAAGTAATTTAAATCCAACTCTCTTTTTACGCTTATATTGGTCCACCCCATTAGATATGGTGGACATTGGCATGCTGTGGGCTCCTGTTCTTCACCAGTTCCTTTAGAATAGCAGCTGGTAAAGAGCTCTATTAATTACGAGAGATACAAAGGGGTAAGTGATATTCAGTCTGTATTTTCTTTTCTGAAGCTTAATACTGGCCTAGGTTACTGTATTACAGCGTGATAAATAAGTTTATTTTAGTCTCAAGTAATTTGCAGTCATAGGGTTTTCTCTTCTATAGCACTAAAGAGGGAATATTTAGAAGCCATCAGGTTACAGCTCCTGTTGCCAGAAATCTTGGCTCTTGGGCTTGATAGTCGCCTATGGACAGACAAATTAGGGGCGAAGATTCTATTTTACTGTTGTTACTGTTAGTTTTCTCACTCGGAACTTTAATAACTCCTTCAGTGGGCGAGCCAGCTTCCTCATCGTAGAGAATTCAGCTTTCTCAGAGCTTCTTCTGAGTTAAATGATAAGTATCCATTTGGTTGTAATTGGACTTGCCATAATTGATGTCCATTTCAATGCTACTAAGCTCGATGTCCATTTTTTAGACTTTGAGTGTAATATTCCCGAAGCAACATTTGGCATTGTGGTCACTCTTCTCTTGAATGTCTACGCTTCCGTTATCAAAAAACAAGACTACCTTCATTGCTCCTCGTTGTTATGAGGTAGACTTGCCCTGTAATCTTGGAACATCCCCAAGTTCTCAAACTCTCGTCTTGGGATGTACATATCTATCTTCAACAACTTTCGCACGAGCTACTGTCCGTTCTTAGACTAATTTATCGCCTCCTAGTACAGCTATATAGACCAACTACCACACCCCTACAACCAGTAATTGCTTTCGTCTATGACGTCTATGATCTTCTGATCTTTTGCTAGCACAACAAAGGATTGTGTTCGTAAATAGTGCTGCTTTCGCCTTCTCGGTAGAAAGGGATATATGGAGCTTCTTTTCCCGATAGTTAGTGCTTAAAAATCAGCGATTTTCCTTAAAACTCGGTGTTGAAAATCTAAATAATCTCGATGACTCGATATCCTCGAATAAATTGTGATGTGATAAATCAATCTCGATGGGTGGCTTTAGAATTGTGTGTCCTGTTGAAGCATTGGGCCCGAGCTCCGGTCATCAAGCTAGACTCTTGACTACCCGCAGCAAACGCTTGAGACGCTTTTCACTGAATACTGGAGCGTTCGGTATTCACCCTGGAGGTCTTCTGGCCTTACGCGACTTTTGCTGAGTAGAATTTATTCTAGTCTTTTCTCTTTTGTGCAAACTGGTCTAATTGGAAATACCAAGTTTTTATCCACCTCCACCATCATCATATGAAAGCCTCATCTTTTTGGGGTTTGCTAATCACAAAAAGTAGCACCACTACGAAAGCGTTTTTAGATGTCGCGAAATTGTGAGTTTATCATGTTTAGGATAACGAACAAATTGAGCGATTGAGTTTTAGCATAGTTTTACTAAAATATTCTTAAATTCATAACAGCCGTACTCGTACCAAAATTGGTCAAAATAAAATTTCTAAACTCAATTGTAACAAAATTGAAGTAGACACATTGCCCGATTTGTGTGTCCTTTTCATCTTTTTACTACATTTGACACGCTTTTTATTGAGGCAAATTAGATTTAAATGCACAGCTACAATTTACATAAATTCGTTTACTTACAGTACTTTCTTCTCAAGCAAAATACTTAAGTGAAATTTTTTTTATTCCAACGCTACGCCCGCTCTCCGGTGTCGCTAGATCAAAATTCTTTGCAGCGTATCATTTTACTCAAAATATATTGTTATTAGCATTTTAGCATTTTTTTATTGCTCGCGCTAACAAGCATCCCTTCTTCTTACAATTACTACAATTTTATATTTCTTTATTTTTTATTTTTTTCTCACAGGAATCGCTTGGAGTCGAATTCGGAACATTGGAATGCGTTGTTGTTGTCACTACGCGAACTCACCGAATGGGTTATACGCAAAGACACCGAACAATCGTCGCTGAGCGTTGGTCCGCTGATGGGCGATGCTGCGAGTCTGCAAAAACAATTGGTAAGTAATGATGACAAATTGTTCTGGGTGGAAAGGCAATGTTGCATTAAATGGGGGTCAACTGTTGGTGGTGAAAAATAAGCTATTGCGTCGACATTTTATTTTTGCTGTTTAGATTCAACGAATGTGGCATGATTTAGCAAAGGATTAAAAAGGGAAAGTTTTGGTGTTTGTGATTGCATTCTTATTTTTCTTTTATAAATTCGTTAATTTTTGGAAAACATTTGAAAATCGTAGCCTCTTAAAACTTCTTGATTGCGGGCATGAATAAGAATTTATTGCGGTTGGCGAGAGCTGATAACACAGTCAAGCAATCATTTTGGGTTTTTAACAAAGAGGAATATTTCCGAGCGAAATTTTTACCACTAATCAGTTTATTTAGAGTGGACTATAGGGTTTACTTTTAGGTCAAAACCCCGTTTAGATCTTTCGATTTAGATGTGTATTTATTTATTTATTTTGATGTGTATTAAAATTCAGCGAATAATTGTTTTCATAGAACAGAACCCAACCATGTTTTTTTCTTTTTCTAAAGATACGTAATGAAGTTTCATTAAAATTAGCAGTTAGAGTTCCTTTCACGCAGCTGGTTGGGCGCCATATTAGAGCCCTGCTGGTAGGCCGTCAGCTCCAGCAGCTTTGTTATTCTTCAGCCGCGAAATTGCTATTGGAATTTCATGCTCCTCTGCTAGTGTCAGTGCTGTCACCATCCACATGTTCTGCCTTAATAGTTTCCGCGCGCTGTGGATATCGGCTGCGAGACTCCCGTGTTTGCTCTTGTAGGCTACTCGCGTATTTCTTCCTCTCTTTTTTATCAGGAAAAATTCCCACTCCAGCTCCCTTTTTCGGCCCAAGGTAATATGCTTTCTTCCCCAATAGGCCGCATCTTTCTTACTCTGCCTCAGCGTAACACCTCTCTTCCTACTAGTTGATATATAGGGCTCGCTGAAATCCGACTATTTCATTGGCGGCGGCACATAATGAACGAAAAATGTGATTGTTTTGTTGTTGTGGCAACTGTCTGAATCGGCTATCCCATCAATCATTGCTGTCAAGCTCAACAAGCGGTAGGCCCGGGAAACTTACTGTTTCAAGGCTGCCGAACTAGTGAGAAGGATATTAGCTGAGTGACTTGAATGGGGAAATTAAGAAAATGGTTAATGTCCTTTAGATAAGACCTTAGTTGCGCAGAATTTCTCGGGTCTCTCGATACAGCTGAACCTCTTCGTGTGTGATAAGTGGTGGTTGAACTCCGACGACGGCATTCACTGTGCGAGAGTTTGTAAGGCCGGTAATTATCACTAGATGCGATGTCGGAACCACTTGTTGTGTGATATAAGGATTAGAAATGGGCGCGGGATATCTGGACCATGGGTCACCGATTTCGAAATGGCCGGGGTGGGCGGTATCGAGAAGTTCTTTAAAAAAAATTCGCGCAGGATGGCATCAAAATCTTTTCTTTCTTAAAAACGTTGAATGAAATAAGTTCTTTTTTATGCTTTATTGAGAAGAAAACGAACAGCAAAGCAAATCGAAATAATCTGAAGATACTAGATCTTTCACAATTTTTATTTTTTTTAAATAATTTTGAAGACATATGAATTTGTCGTAGTTATAGAAATTAAGAAAAGCGACGGGGAGAGAAGCGTCCTAGTCTAGCATTGAAATAGACAAGCTCGCGACAGCACTTCTAGGGATGCTCCAAGTAGTCATAGAAGTGGCTGCTTCGACATTCGTTTCCGACGGATGCGGTCGCAAATTAACAAAATGTTGAAGGTTCTGGCTTTGATACAGACCTTAAGGAGATGTTCTTTCCTTGTGATGAACGAGTATACTCGGACACAAAGTCTCTAGCCCATCACAAATCCGAAACAAAATTTCGCTCTTTTACATGGAACTGTCGGTCGCTGTGGTGTAGTGGTAAGCAGTGCGCGCTTTCACACATCAGCACCTGGGTTCAAGCCCTGGTCAAAGCAACATCCGAAAAAATATAGAAAAAGGCTTTTTCTTAACAGCGGTCGTCCCTCGGCAGGCAATGGCAAACCTCCGAGTGTATTTCTGCCATGAAAAACAGCTTCTCATAAAAATACAATCGCCGTTCGGAGTCGGCATAAAACTGTAGGTCCCTCCGCTTTGTGTGACAACATCAAGGCGCACGCCACAAGTCGGAGGAGAAGCTCGGCCAAACACTAACATATGTGTAAGCGCCAATCTATTATTATATTATTATTACATGGAACTGCATTGTGGACCTCGCAAGGTCTATTTCCTGCCTACCATGCCAGGCCACATTCTTCCAGCCGGCAGAGGCATCATTAAGGTGCGGACGTTCCAGGTACACATCCTTACATCATAGTGCCTTTAAATATTCGTCGCGGTGGTTATAAAAAGAAAGTGGTCACATCCCCCTCATGGTGGACATAAGCGGCAAACTACTGTTCACTTCTTCGTTCCGTGATCCAAGGCTTCACATGGATTTTTTATCGCATCTGACACAGCGGTTGCACACGTTGCCCAAGGTGCGCAAATTTCGACCTAAATGAGGAATCACATATAGTCAGGTGCATACCCATAGGCACCGATATATCCCTTTGTAATCCTATCTTCTAATATATCTAAAGAAATGCTGCTTACAAACTTATTTTTATGTACTTTGCTTTTACACTAGAAAAATATATAGACACAAATTTAGTTAGACTACATATTACCACATTCTTTCCGCTTGCAAGTAATTGCGTGGAAAGAACTGAAATAATATTTATGGCTATTACTGCCAACGGCGCTACCCATACAGGTTGAATTCTACACTCGTCCCATGCCACAGCGCTTATTTCCACCACTTACAGACACAGGCGAATATATCGCATCCTTTTCAACGAACCCATCATCACTCACCGACTTCCCGCATTACCGGGCTACTTATATACAAACATAAGTACGTACGTACTCATGTACATATGTATGTAGGTTGTTGCGCCTGACCGACTGCTTCACACATTGTGCTCGTCGTGCCTCCTTTTGCATTTTGCGCAAACAAGTGAGCTCTGCTTACTACTACCTCTACTCGCCTTAATGCGTTGAGGTCGCTCACGAGTTGAGATTTAATGGCGTATGAAGTGGGTTCATTTTTGAGGTTAAGACAATTTTGAGATTTTGACAGCATGCCAAGTGGCGTGCGAGCGAACGGTGAAAGAGTGTTAGTTGAAGGAAAGATTGTAGCTATTTCGGCTTGAAGAGACAGCTTGTGTAAGGACATATTTTTAAAGTACACTGTGTGTCTATTTTTTTATGTTTACATACAATGTATAGGTACGGAGAGGTAGGTGCACATCCATGCATATATAAGACAAATGGAAGGGTTATGCTTGAGTGCTCATCACGAATACCTACCCCGCAGTATGTATGTATTTAGAGATAGTAATGTATTTGTGTGCCCTTGTGTCATTTGCTAATGTGTGACCTCCTTTCAAGTGGTTACATTGCTACCCTACACTTGAGCGCACACCAGGTTGTTAAGTGTCTGCTGGCAAACATATCGGAAGCTAGGCGATTAAGTGATGTTTTTTTACTCCTTTAAATTGTCTTTTTATGTGTTTGAAGGTTTTTTTTTTAATTGCCAAATATGTACATCTAAGTGGGTATGAACGAAATCTGGCAACAGGCGTCAAGAATACTATATTGAGGTATCACTTCTTACAGAAGCTTTTTCATAACACATAAATAGACTAAGGGGGTTTCCATTGGCTGTCGCTGTTAGAAAAAAATTTATCCATTTTATACTGCTCTCCGCATGGATCGAGCCTTAGTCCTACCGAGTGAAGGTTCACTTAGCTACAGCTGTCGGCAGACATATTTAAGGGTATAAATAGATCCTTCGACCAAGCACGATTGGTGGACAACGAAAGCAAGCGCGCCCGCGAACAAAATGGAAAGACCAATTTTAGAATTATCCCTCAGCAATTCTTATGTGAAGCCGTCGAAAATTCGCAAAGAATTACCTTCTCTTCTGCTCTCGGCTCATGCTCATAAATGATTTTTGGAGCCATAAAAAATGAAGTACAAGTAATAGAAAACCTATAAATGGTTGAATTTCAAAATACGTGTTCGTTTCAATTACTGCTCCAAGTAACTAAGTACTTTACAAATTACTCTTTTCCATTTGCTGGACATTTTCAATTTGCAATTTGCTCCCAACTTTGCCTTCCATGTGGACTTTATGCCCGAAAATAAAAGTACCAAAGCAACCAAACTTGCAAAGGATACTTGAAAGCGCTCGAATATGGTTGTGAGCGTATACACTTAGTATATATTAATGTAGTCAGTTCCATTACATTGTATTCTCGTAATTGTTTAATGACCCTTGCCCAATGTTCGCACACACAAATGTAGCCGTATGTACATATGTACGTGTGCACATTCATAAGTGTGTTTGTGAAATTACTACTTTTGGTCGCCCAACATCCGCACAAATATCCACTGAAGTGCTGAATGTTAGTTGAACCAAAGTTTTTGCGCACCGCAAAGAAAATCACTCAAGGGCTTGGCGTGATTGCAGACACAACTACAAACAAAAAAGCAAAATTTAGGTATGAATTACACAAAAAAAGGGTAAGCATTGAAAAGAGCAAATGATTGTGTACGAAAAACAGGGAAAATAAAACTAAAAGGCAGCGAGTAGTCAAAGCACTTTAGTTGCTCATTCGCCCACTACGCCTGCGAGCGGCAACTGAACTCCTGCAATCACAGCACGCGGTGATATAAAACTTCCCAAAAATCTCCGGCGTCGTCGCAGCCACTGTATGGACTCCTGATTCTGCGGAGTTGTGAAACTTTTTCACCGCTGTTGGACATATTTACATGTGCTGCTCAGTGGCCTTTGCTGCTGTCATTGCTGCTGCCACTGTGACTTTGTTGCTTTAGTCGTTAAGTCAATAGTGGCCATGTTAATGTTAGCCACATATGCATTCGAGTGGGTAGTAAAAATCAAATCAGAAAAAAGCAGTGACTGCAGTCAATTGAATTGCTGGCGGGCTCTACTATTTGCAGCGTTTCGATGTGTTTATAGCGCCAAGCCAGTCAAAATAATAATAAAGTAGCTGTGGCAGTGGCAGTTTAGGTTGTGGTCAATTCTTTGATCGTCTGCTGTGTGAGAAGATTAAAGTGGCCATAGGATGAGAAGCAATATATGCCATTAGGCGAATTAATGATTTTTTTCTTAGCCAAAATAGCTAACTAATCGCCAGATACTTCCCTTTTACTACCTGCTCAAAAAAACCTCATTTCCGATTCACCTTATTTCTGTTTATTCAAGTGGAAAAATATCCGTAGGTGCTTTATGCGGTGCACGATTTAGCTTTTGTGTTCGCTTGCAACTTAAACACATTAAATATAAATGTATTTGTAATTTCACAACAAATTTTACTTCATTAGGTTGCCAGTACATTTATGGGTTTAGCTAGAGTATTTTTAGATTCATTTTATGCTCTTTCTTGTACTCACTTAGCTTTTAACAACTTTTAGTCATTTATTTGTTGTAACTTATTGCGGTCAGCAATGTGTACAATATTTTCGGTCATAAATCTGAAGTTTTCCAGTGGTGATGACATTGTAACCATATAAACAGTTTGGCGAGTAATCGACCAAGTCATCGGTCGAGCAAACTGGAGAGGCAGTCATTAGAAACTCATTTTGTTTACTTGGTCGAGTATTATTTCCCCGCTACACTCTTCACACCTCCCGCAGCGATTCATCAAATCGCTTGTCAAATCTGCTTACGCAGTCGCCAGTCAATCGCCACTCAGAACACTTACAATCCCCTCCCCCTTAAATACGGCCTTGATAGTGATAATAGATTGGCGCTGACACATATGTTAGTGTTTGGCCGAGCTTCTCCTCCGATTTGCGAATGCCCGCCGATATTAATGAATCTATTTATCGATATTGTTGTCGATATATTTATAAATATTGATATCGATAAATGTATCGATATTTTTATCAAAGCAGTTTCGAAAATCTCGAACATGTCTCGGCAAACTGGAAGTAGTCTCGAAAATCCCGAAATAGTCCCTACAATTAGAATATAGTCTCGAGAATCCCAAAAATCCCGGAGTAGTGTCGAAAATCTCAAAAGAGTTTCAAAAATCCCAAAGTATGTATGTAGTTCCGAAGATCCCGATACAGCCCCAAGAATCCCGAAAATCTCAAAGTAGCTTCGGATATCCCGAAATAGTCCCGAAAATCCCTCAGTAGTCCCGAAAATAACGATATATAATAGTTAATTACAAACTTGTTTAAGCAGATATGAGCCATAGTTCGTTTGAAATTAGTGTGCTTGACGGCATTTGGACAGAACTGAATAACTATATACTACTTACCTTCATTACCAGCTTGTTCGCAATGCTGTTTCCAATGATATTTCTGTGGCCGGAACCCAGACTACATTCTTTGTGCATTGCGTAGTTGCTACATTCGCAGAGGAGAGGTATTATTGCATTATAGCCCGAGCTTAGAAAATGCCACAGTAGTCCTTTAGATGCAGGTTTAAGCTTAGGAGTAGTTTCCCGACCGGATATTGCTGCTGACTTTATCATTCAGCTCTGAACCAAGGCTAAAGTCTGTCTATTCAACTTTACCATTCGCTCTCAACGGGAGTTCTTGCCGAAGACGAAAAGCAGGCAGATAAGATATTTGTAAACAAGTAATAATATTTTCTACCTCTTTGACCGAGCCTCTCCTCCAATTTGGGATGTACACTCGGTTTGCCATTGCCCGACGCTCTAAGCAAACTTTTTTTTGTTGGATATTGCTCTTGCCAGGGATTGAATTTTGGTCCTTTAACCGCTCCGCTATGGTCAAATAAGCGGTTATTTTGTTTAGAGGGCACATACAATTGAATGCTGTTTTGTTTGGTACAAACGTATGGTTAGATACAAAAAAATTAATCTGAGTTGGTTAAGTGTAGGCTTTTATAAAATTTTTTGCAACATAATAGGGGTATTCTCCAAATCTTGCAAAGCCATTGCACGTAGCACGGATTGCACGGATTGCATAAATTGCAAACACACAACAAGAAAATTCATGGGAAACAACATTTCCTATCGCTGCAGNGTTGTTTTGTTGTTGGAATTGCTACATATTTCTCTCATTCCTCTCATCTCGCTCACTTAATTTTTTTTTGCTGTCTCTTGTTATTGTATTTGATACATAATTTCGCTGCTTGCTCCCCATGCATGCTACCTCTTTGCAATGGGGTGTTCTCGTACTCTTCGAAATTTGGAATAGTATTTTTGCATTTCATGCAATCCGTGCATCGTGCAAGACTTCGAGAATACCCCTAATGTATTTTTTTTTTTAATTTCTTTGCACCAGATGACGCAATTTCTTTTTTTTAATTTTCGCCAAAGACTTTATACTGGTAGTGGGAACCACTTTGCTCGCGCCCAAAGCCCTTTCAAGGTTTATATACATTTTGTATTGACGTGTGTAAAGTAAAAGATCTCTCTGTCCATCGCTGCTTTATACTACTGTTGATCGTTTTCATTTTCTACTGGTCAAAAATTGTCAGTTATTTAAGAGCAAAGTACTCAATATTAATATGTGTAGTCATTTTAGGTGCCATAAACAAGCTTTCAACACGTTTCTACTAACACAAAATTCAAGTGGTCGGTGATTCATGATGCAATCCTCCTATACTAATTCGTGCTTGTTAATAATTTACATATCTTCATTACGACTTACATAACTCTCGAAATCTAATTTATTACACACTTAAAGTGTTTACCACAACAATTCATGTATCAATTTCTTCGTCACTTATCTTTACTTACAGGATGATCATAAAGCCTTTCGACGTCAACTGGAGGACAAACGTCCCATTGTCGAAAGCAATTTATTGAGTGGACGTCAGTATATTACAAGTGAGCCGCCAGTATCGGACAACAGTGATACGGAAGGTGAGTAAAACAAAAACTAAATTACCTACAAGTATGCGGGCATATAATCGTACATATGTATTTTACATAGCACGGGCATGGGTTGTATGGGTTATAAACAAAATACAGGCCTATGCACACATATTCGTGAAACTACAATCATGATTATATAGCATACATTTGTATGTACCTAGATGCATATAAAAGCATTTTTACATACATACTGAGATAACACGTTAGTTGTGTGTTCATATCGAACAGGCCGTGTCTGGTGTTAATGGCATTAAACATTCGGATTCGTGACAGCACTAACTGTGCAACACTCAATCGCCTGTCAATAAAAGCTTTCAACCAGCATAGTACCCAGACAGATAGGTCGCATTGCTGATATTTTTACGTACGAGTACGTACTGGTTCATACGTAAATGCATATATAAACATATGTATTTGAGGGAAGTGCATATCTGCCTATCGTCAATGTGCCAATTCAAGCCCATCTAGTTGGTAGACCATTTTCAGTTAAATATATGAACCTTATTTGGGTCTCTACATACATGCATAAATACATAGGTATATATATTACGAAACAAAGGATTGCTTTAGCAGATAGTGACATCAATTTCCGTTCGATGTGGTAATTCTATGGTGCATTGGTGCAACTGTTGGATGCAAATTCTATCCAGTGCTCCAAAGGAAGCGGTTTTAAATTTTTAGAAAAATATTGTCGCAGAAATACTTGGGTAACAGAATTCAGTAATACGTAGCAAAAAAAAAAATTTGGTTTGCTAGCAACCGACACACGAGTTAACATAGTAAAACCGATGCAACAGCCACTTTAAGAACCCAATGACTCCATCTCAAGATGAATGTACTATACCCATGAGGTAAAAGTCCACAATATATATTTCGAAATGGAAGCGACAGGACTTCCGCTCTCAATTCTTTACTTCTAAATTTATTCCGCCAGATGTATTGAGAGTGGACCAGTTTCATTATCTTTCCCTCTATCAACTAGAGATGCCAGATCGAAATAAAAAAGTAAGTTTTTTAAACGTTTAGAATCAAAATAGACATAATCGATGCAGGAAGGAATCGTCTAGAAATAAATCGATTTCACAAGATTGATTCGCATATTATGTCAAATAACGTATTTTACTTAATTTTTATAAAGAAACAAAATACAGTGATCTGACCAAACTTTTATTGTACATAAGTAATTTTTAAAACATACATACAAACATTGTTCATAACTGTTTCAATATCTAGATTTATTTGAAACAGAGATAAGGTGTTTCTTTACTAAGCCATTAAAATGATCATTCAACTGAAACTTCATAAATTCTTAAACCAAATTTCCGCCAGGCAACGAAATGACAAAAAATGTATGCCATTTTAAAAATGCCATGTGGAAACAAACACTATGAAACGGTTAGTGTTTAATGCCCAACATAGTGGCTGCAATTTCTTCATTTAAAGCCTTGTGTAAACTCAATGTTAGTTCGCCCTATTTATGAAAACTTATATTTTTTTTTGGAAATTTTGTTGGTGCTTTTTTTTTTTGTTTAACACAAATGAGGAAAAATTCTAGGTTTTATTTCAAACTTAACGACAATTTTAAGAAGTATAGTAGAGCTTACGTACATATATTTTTGGCAAATCGGGCATTTGTTAGTTTTGTTTTGTTTTCCCTGACTCTATATTTCACTTCTTAAGTAACCTTTAAACAAAATATAAGAAGAGTAATTGAGGGGTGAACATTTTTATGAAAATTTTCATAAAGTTGGGAATCACAATTTTGGGAATTTTTGTTGTAGTTATAATCATAATTTTATATAGAGTTATTTTCAAGAGGCTTCTCTGAGGAGCCATATAGTCGGAGGAGGAAGGTCACTGAATTCTTTGGTCTTTGCTCTCTCATGCTATTTTTTTTTTGTACCAGCTCCAAATTCATATTTCTTTAAATATTTATAGATTTCCTGGGGGCAAACCATAGTTCAATATGCATCAATTGAGCAAAAATCGAATGTAGATCCTCGAGTTTTTTGAATCGATTCACGGATCGAACCAGAACTAAAAAATCAACAAAAAATCGAATCATAAGGGTTCGATTAATCTATCTTCGGTTTTATCGATTTAAAAATAGCATCTCTACTACCAACCACTAATGTACATAAAATACTATATTATGCTGTGTCCTCTTAGTGCTTTCTCTACATCCAAAATACAATGGGTAGCTTATTTCTAAGTGCAGGATAATGGTTTTTACGTTTACCGACCTACCATTCTTAAACATCTTTAAACTTATTCATATTCATCCATGTTTGCAATTATATCTGCTAAAAAGAGCTAAATAAATAGTGATAATAATATTGATAAGATATTGAAGATTCATTTAGTAACAATATCGAAAAAAATCTGATAACATTTTTAACACGAATGTGAAGCAAGGAAGTACTTCTAAAAAGATATATTTTATATATGCCTTCTTTGAAGTGAAACTTCTTAGTGGCAGTTGGTTGGTTGGGAGTAAATTGGCAAATTCAACGGAAATTGTAAACGGAAATGGTGCAACGGAAATGGTTGGGCTGAAACAAGTGCTCCTTGAGTGTATACAAATGTTATTAATTTAACAAAAACATGCTAATAAAAGGTTAAAGAATAACACTTAGGAAAAGACCAATATAAGAATGAAAGTAAAGGGGAGTACGTACATAGAGATAAAGGCAAAGGTAAAAATAAAAACAAAAACAAAAACAAAGGTGAAGGAGAATAAGTAGATGAAGAAAATGATAAACATAAAATTAAAAACAAAGATAAATATAAAGAAAAAGATGAGGATGAGAATACCGATAAAAGTTAAGATGAAGATAGAGGAAGAAAGATTTAAATAAAAGTAATTTTAGAGAAAAAGATATAGATGGAGACACAGATACTCAAACTGTGAACTATTTTGGGATTTTGGAGATTTTTGGGATTCTCGAGTCTTATCGATATAATAATCTACATTTTTATCGCTTTTGTTATCGATATTTGTATCGATTTTGTTATCGATATTGTTATTGGTTTTGTTATCGATATTATTATAAATTTTATTATCGATATTTTTATCGAATTTGTTATCGATATTTTCATCGATTTTATATCGATACTGTTATAGAGTTTACTATCAATTATTTATCGATTTTGTTATCGATTATTTACCGATTATGTTATTGATATTTTTGTCGATATTTTTTATTGATTTCCTAAGCGATTTTTGTTATCGATTATTTATCGATTTTGTTATCGATATTTTTATAGATTTTCTAATCGATTTTATTAACAGTACTATTATCGATTTTGCTATAGACTTTTTTATCGATTTTGTTATCGATATTTTTATCGGTTGTTTTATCGTTATCTTGTTGGATGTTACTATCGACTTTGCTTTCTAAAGAGTATAAAGATAAAAGTGAAGATAAAGGAAAACCGAATAACATAAATGTAATTAGAACGAACAGGGGTAGGGGTAGCGATCTAGATAGAAAAAAGACAAAAAATATAACCTTAAGCAAAAGCAGATGTATTTATGTATGTATGTATGTATATTGGTTATGAGACAAAATAGATATAGAACGTAAGTTTCACTTCTCCAGTGCTGCCCAGGCACACTTACTTTGTTTTAGAACTATCTCCATACAAAAATTGGCTCACAAGAGTGCATTTTAGAAGTTTGAGATTCCGTTTTAAAGAACTTATAATAAAATTAAATTTAATATACATTGCCTACTGCATAAAAACTCCAACTCTTTGCTAAAAAAGACATCCTGTAAATATCACCAGCAGTCGGTCAGCAATTGATTGTCGAAATGGCGTACAAATTTGGCAACTGGATTTTATTGCCAATGGCCGATTGCAGTGGCAGCAGCAGTTGCCGTACAAAACACACACACTCAAATAGCACGAACATACATTCACACATATACATTTAAGCCTTAACATGGTTGCTTGTAAATTGTTTTTTTATACCCGAGCGCACTTGTGCACAAGGGTATATTAAT